CAATAAAAAATCTTCACAATACTAACAAAAGCCAATTATCAATCCTATACTAATCACAAATTAATCTAACAAACCAAACTAACCAATATAATACTCAAACTTTTCTCTTAAAACTTGTCTATGTCTTTTCAGGATAAAGTAAATTATTAAGGAGGCATTAGCCCTCCAAAATTAGATAGTTACTTTCTTTTTTCTTGCTCAAAGATTTTTTATCAGAAATATATCTAATATGGGATAGGCTGACATGTATAGCAATGTATCTCAACATCTCAATATTAATTATGTAACAACTTTACTTTATTAATAAAGATCGTGAGAAATGCCTCACTTAACAGTAAAAAAAAAAAACAAACTAATGATATATCTTATACATGGCCTACTATTAATTTGTGCATAGCAATAATTTATTATTGCGTGATTTTTGTTATTGGAAAAATTAATGATATGGAACTGTATTTGCTTATTAATAATTAAGCAATAAAATATACTATAACATATATGTCTTGTAATTTATTTATTAATTTGATGTAGTTTTACATGCTATTATCAAAATCTTTAGTGATCTTTTGACATGATTAATGACTAGATGAGTGTACATTTACATTAGAATTTATTATTGTTACTAATGAATCTAGATGGGATATCACTTCTTTCATTATTTCTTGATTGTTATTCATTTCTCCCAATTAATTTTAGGTAATTCTCCTTGCTTTGCAATACCATGTACATGAATACTACTATGGTACTGCCATTCAAAATGGTAATACTAAATCTATTAAATAATCTATTAAATAAATAAATATTATTATATTTAAAATTATAACTAGATTTAAAAACCTGAACATATATATGTAATTAGTTAAATTCGATTTTACGCGTATTAATTATACATATAATTATACATATTAATTAATAAAAATATTATATAAAAATTAATATAAAAATATAAATAATTTAATTAAAACAATTAGTTTAATAAATATAGTGAAAACATTAAATGTATAAATACATAAAATATATTTTAATAATTTAAAAATTAATTTTATTTTAATTTAAAATAATGCTTCGGATCCCAACAGTTTCCGTTTCCTAGTTATTATTAACATTTTCTATTTATATAAATAAATATTTTTAATAAATTACATTATCAATTGGCTTGTTACTTTTATCACATAACAATTAAATGAAGATTTTATAATTTCATTAGTACAGTGTTATAAAGAATATAATATTTATTAACTTATCATTATATTATATCTAAATTCCATGTTATACAGTATATTATATAACTTTTATATTAAATAACTTTTAAATTTATTTATTTATTTAAAACAATTACATAAAAATTAATAAAAATTGTATTAAATAAAACTCTAAAGGTTTTTATTATCTGTCAAAAAAAAAAAAAGGAGGCATCTCGGTTTACTTTTTTACTTTTTGATTCTTTCTTTCTATTTCTTTAATCATTTCTCTTTTTGAATGGCGCTAGACAAAATAATAAATAATATTATTCTTGTTCTTATTCATATTAATAATAATAATAAAATTTTTCAGCCACAGCCAATCCTTACTGATCGTTAAGCGAATCTTAGCGACAGACTCGTCTGTCATAACATTATATATTGTTACAGGTAAAAGCGGCACAGACGTGTAACGCGATATCGCGTTACGTCAGCTTGTTGTTGCGAACGGCGAGAAATTAAGGTGGGAAAATTAGTGTGGAAAAGTTTAGTGCGGAAATTTTTAGAATAGCGTAGAATAGTAAGACAGATGTAAACATGTAAACAATAGGCGCATGTATACTGTAAATACAAGCGCAGATCAGTAACATGTAAAGGGAGGAATTGGTTTAGAATACACTAGCATTCAACAATAAAGAAACTCTTACCTTGTTTTCAAGTGTGCCCGAAATATTTGTAACTCGTGCTACGCGACTAAGCGGAAAAACCAAGGCTTGCCTAAGGGAATTGGCATAGGAAGGGTTCTAGACTAGTCGATAGAAAGGTTAAAATAAAGCCGGTCAAATCGAAGACACGCCTCAAAAGTTAAAGGAAAAACTTACTTTATTGTTTGTCGGCGTTATGCAAAGCGAGAAGAATCGCATTGAGCATTAGCGACCGACTCGCCGCTTTAGCCCATAACACCCTTGAGGTAAATTTGATTACAAACGCGTTATAATGCACGTCCACGTCATCTTAAGTTTCGCAAACCTACCCATTCCATCACATGTTTTACGAACCTACGTATTCTACTTTACGTTTCGCGTAATCATTCAATCCATCTTACGTTCACAAACTTACTCATTTTACTTCATGTTTCGCTAACCCATTCACTTCACCTTAAGTTTTGCAAACCTACCCACCACTTTACCTTTCACGTACCCACTCATTCCACTTCACGTTTCGCGAACCTATCCATTCAACTTCGCGTTTCGCGAACCCATTCATTCCACTTCACGTTTTGCTTATCCTCCCATTCCACCTCACATTTCACAAGTTTACATATCCTACTTCACGTTTCGCAGACTTATTCATACCACTTCATATTTAGCAAACCGACCTATTGTAATTCACGCCCACGAATCAATTCACTTTGTTTTATTATTTACGAAATCATTACTCTATCTTATGTTTTGTAAACCTACTCATTTATTTCACATTCCGCGAACCTATTCATTTTTTCTCACGTTTCGTAAACCTATCCACACTATTTTTTGCAAACCCATTCACTCTGCCTCACATTTCACAAACCTATTTATTCCACCTAGTGTTTTACGAACCCGCTTATTCACCTTACGTTCCGTAAATCTGTCCACTTTTCGTTACGTTTTACGAACCCGCCTTTTTTTACGAAAATCCGCCTATTCTATCTTTATTTATTATATACTTCATAAAATAGTACGATATATAATATAAAAAACATCTGTTTATTACGTAATAATAAATTTAGCGGGCAGTTTTATTTTGCGATCTCGTGTAACAAACAGATTGTAATACAGTATTTAGGATCATGCAGTGTTTCAATTTTCAAAATATACAATTGCTCTCAAAATGACCTCTTTATCAGAAAATATGCAAATAAAAAATGGATGGGTCGAAGAATTCGAAAAGTCGGTAAACGGATTATTATTAAGAACATTTGAATATAGCGACTTCGTGGGCATTAAACCTATAGGAAGTGGTGCCTTTGGAAAAGTATATGAGGCCTTTTCAAAGAGTATTAGAAAAACAGTAGCGATTAAAAAACCTAAAAATTTTGACGAAAAAACGGCAAATATGTTTCTTAACGAGGTGTTTGTTGGATAGTTGTAATAAAAATGAATATTCAGTTAAGTTTATATTAAAGTAAAATAATCGTCATTCGTAGCTTAAATTGCATCAAGATGTTGACTTTGATAATAATATCATACGACTTTATGGTATTTCCAAGAAAGGTAACGTCATTTGAGTATTTATGAACATTCAATACATAAAAACTAACAAATTGTTTAATTAAGCAAATTCACAAAAAATTAAATATCTTATGGTAATTGAATATGCGGATAAAACTTTACGGAAACACCTTGAAGAAAACTTTAAATCACTAAATTGGAAAGACAAATTACGCATGGCCAAGCAAATTACAAGTGCGATTATGTATTTACATGAAAGAGACATTATTCACAGGGATTTGGTAAATCAATTTAAAATTTATATTCGTATAATAAGAAGATACATTAATGACTTAACCTTTATGCATTTATTTAGCATTCAAAAAACATTCTTATCCAAGATGGTAACATAAAGCTTGCCGATTTCGGGCTGTCCAAGAAATTAATGGAAGCATCAAATACTCAATCCGCGAATACACCAGTCGGTGTTTTACAATATATTGATCCACGATGTTTAAAAAAAACAGAAAAGGGGTCATTTCATGTAAAAACCAAGAAGTCGGATATTTACAGCTTAGGAGTTTTACTCTGGGAGCTCTCAAGTGGATACCCACCTTTTAATTCTGTGAATGTTCACGAACTATATAATCAGATTTTAGATGGTCGGAGAGAGACAAGGATAGAAGGGACTCTTCAAGAATACATTGATATTTATGAAGGTTTGATTATAATAAGCCATCTATCAGTATTTTGTCTCGATTTTGTTTAGGAGGCTGATGATAAATATTTTTTAGCGTGTTGGGACGAAAATCCAGATAAAAGGCCCGAAATTGTCCGTGTTAAAGAATTTCTTAACTCATTAGATATAACAACGTTAAAAACTCCAGAAACACAACAAATTCATGAAAGTAAAGAAAATACTAGTAGTGTTATCAACAACAGTCTCATAATAAAGAGCGAGATTGTTAAAGAATTTGAGCTTTACACGTTGAATGAATTGTATCAGCTTATTGTTGATCAAAAAAGTAAAGGAGCCTATGATGTAGAGTTAGCAATTTGTATTAAAACGTTCATCGAAGGCAATAAGACAACTTCGGAACAGATTTTTGATTTATTAACTGATTATCAAGAAGCACATCAGAATGCAATGACCCTCGGAGTCCTTTGTTCTCTTGGAATTGGAACCACTAAAGACGATGAGAAATCATTTCAGTGGTACCTGAAATCCGCTGAAGGTGGAGATCATATGGGACAAAGTAATCTTGGATATTGTTATCGTAATGGAATTGGAACCACTAAAGACCACGCGAAATCATTTCAGTGGTACTTGAAATCTGTAGAAAGTGGAAATCCTCATGGACAATATAATCTTGGAGTTTGTTATGAGCAAGGAATTGGAACAAATAAAGATAACAATAAAGCATTTCAGTGGTATCTGAAATCCGCCGAAGGTGGAAATAGTTTGGGACAAAATAACCTTGGAATTTGTTACAAAAAGGGAATCGGAACAATGAAAAATGAAGAGAAAGCATTGCAATGGGTTTTGAAATCTGTTGAAAGTGGATATAGTACAGGACAATGCAATCTTGAATTTTGTCATAATAACGACATAACAACTTGTGACTGGTGCATGTCTTCAATATCGGATATTAACGACTGGTGCAAGATTTGCAATACAAAAGACTTGGTTGATCACTTCTCTGACTGGTCAAGTGGGGATCACGAGGTTGATGAATTTATTAGAAGCACTCAGCGTAAAGCAACAAGTAAATTTAATTTTTTAGAGTGGATACCCAACGAATGTCTTAAGGACGTTAAAGAAATAGGAAGGGGCGGATTTGGAAAATTTTATTCGGCAATATGGATTGATGGACCACGATCGAGGTGGGTGAGCGAAAAAAAAGAATGGGAAAGGTATGGTGGAGTAAAGGTGGCTTTAAAGTGCCTTCTTGGGGATAAGCCTAATAAAGAGCTCTTTGACGAGGTCAGTATTTATGATATGAAAGCGAAACACTAAAAAAACTTAGTTAAAATATATAAATATACCGTAGATAATACCTCACCTCGAAATTGGCAAGAATATTCTTGGGCGCAATAATATTCTTCAAATCTTCGGAATAACTGAAAACCTCTCTACTCCCGGACAGTACATGATCGTGATGGCACTTGGCGATAATGGAGACTTATATTCCTACATCAAAATTCACTTTGCCAGTTTAGATTATCAGAAAAAGATCGAAATTCTTTTTGATATTATCACTGGAATCCTTCAAATTCACAAAGCTAAATTCGTTCATCGGGACTTACATTCAAGAAACATTTTATGTCAACAATTTATAAAACTATCCGAGGGACGAAATGACAGTAGATTTGTTGTAGGTGATTTAGGCTTAGCTCAGAGGATAATTGATACATCTGATTACCTTTTTGAGATGGCAGAATATTGCGCGCCAGAAGTACTTGCGAAAAGAAAATTTAGTGAGGCTTCAGACATTTATAGTTTTGGAATAATTATGTGGGAGTTGGTAGTCGGTATAAGACCATTCTCATATCTCTCAAACAGATACATGTTAGTAGCAGCTATTATTCAGGGCCTCACACCGCCTATTGACGAATTGAAAACGAAAGTGCATTTCCCACCAGCCTATAAAATGTTGATGGAACAATGTTGGAATAGAGACCCAGAAAAAAGACCAACTGCGCAAGTAATTTACGAAACTATAGGTGTTTGGTTACAAAATTTAATGTTTACGCGGGAAAAAAGTATAGCTCAAGAGTTCGTAGAAGCTGATGAGAAAAGGTTATTAAAAATACCGGAAAATATTGTTATTACAGAAAAAATATCAGGTATGCAATTTAATTCGTTTTTTTTTATTATTTTCAAAGATACGTTCTAATATAATTTTCTGTCAGCGAAAAAACAATTGGGAGATATCGATGAAGGAGATGATTCTAGTAAATTAGATTTTTCATCATCAATTGATTACTACACTAGTAGGGGAATATCTGTTATTCTGGAACAAATGAAATGATAAATGATATTATATTTTTTTCGTGAATCGTGTATAATTGACCAATAAATATTTATTGTACTTTATGTTATTCATCAATCTCTCATTTTGTTTTATAATCGGTTTTTACTGTCGAGCACATTTTCCCCACTTATTATATTTTTCTTGTTTATTAATCATCGACCGTAATCTACTAGTGTATTGTTACCAGTAAGAGCATGCAGGAGGGTTATCAAAATAATTGGTATTTGAGATTTTCGAGACATGGTTTAGAAATGTAGATATGCAGTTTTCATAAGAGTTAATAAAGTACACCCTTTGACCCCAAGGATAATTATAGATGTGTTGGCAAAATTATGAAAATGATTAAGACCGCAATATTTAATCATTATGCACGACACATTCAAAGCTTAATTGGTGATGTGTGTCATAAGAAATATAAAATATTATAAAATTATGATATTTGAATAGTAGTTGTAAGTTTGAATTGTTTAATGTTGATGATAATTAAATAAATAAAAAGAAATTATAAAAAATATTTAACTCAAAATTAAAATGCGCAATGATAAAGTGATCACGTTACGTCTCTGTTTTAACGAAGTATAGGGAAAAAATAAAAAATAAAATAAGGCATGCAAAAGAAAGTGAAGGAGAGAAGGGGTGGATGAAATTAAAGAGCACTAAGGGAAGAAATAAATGTAAACATTAAAAATAAACATCTAAAACAAAATTGTCAAATCAATATACGTATACTGATTATAATTATTTATTAGTAATTATTGTATTAATAGAAAAGGTATGCACACACTTTTCATAATTTATCGTATTGCCTTTTCATACAAATATTTTATATTACATGGTTAAGAAACGCCTTCTCGTAATCTTGTGAGGTTCCAGTTTTATTCTTGTAACATTTTCCAGGATTAAGCATTTCCACTTTCAGCGGATCTCATGTACCACTAAAATATTTTCTCGTGGTCAATAATGATTCCAATTTCATAGCGAAAATAATTTCCGAGATTAAATTTATAAGTGTATTCTCACATTCAGCAGATTTCTAATAATACTGAAATGCCTATTTAAATATACAGTAAATCCCTTTATAATAGTGAGGATCAGATTTAACACGAATCAATTATATAAGTGATTGTAAACCTTTTTTTTTTTCGCTCGTTTAATTACAAATCAAATCTCTATGAATAATGTCTTTTTTCGTGTAAGTACAAAATTGCGCTTGTAATTTGCTTAGCCATGTGTAATTTATCAGTCCAATTTAACAAGTGAAAGTTCTTTTCAAAATACTGCCTTAAGGTCCCATCTGCATATTCAATTATCATAAGATATTCTTTTTTTTGTGGACCTACTCAATTAAAATAGCTTATTGATTTATCATATACAGTACACCGTATGTACACCGTATGTCGCATATAGTATACATTGCATACGAATTCAAAATCGCATTACCTTTCTTGGAAGTTCCATAAAGTCGTAAAATATTATTCTAGTTAATCTACTTAAAAATGTGTACCAAGCTTTGACTTGTGTCATGTAACCAAACGAAGATAATTACTATAGTTCCACAAGAGATTATTGAAGATTTTATAAAATTTCGATAATACTGTATTAGATGTGTAAATTAATAAATTAAATTAAAATTTTTAATCTCATATTTAAATATTGAAGTGAAATTCAAAAAAAAAATAAATAAATAAAACATTTTTATTTATTTTAAAGTATTATTAAAAAAATATTCAAAATCGGAATTTTTTATTTACTGTGCTGTACGCATTTTTAATTTTAAACATTTCAATTATAATGGGAAAACTCCAAATTTTTTTTGTTTAATTATATTCTTTTTTTAAACAAAATAAACCAAATATATATATTAGCATATTTTAAACCAAATCGATTGAATAAATGATTACATTTGTAAAGCGAGATCAATTGATTAAACAATTCTTTTGGTAAACCAAAAATCAATTAATTAAAATAAAGAATTTTTATATTTAATAATTTTTGTTTTCTTGGATTTTTATGCTCGATTACTGTTAGAAAAATATTATTAAAAGTAAAAGAAACAGACAAATTCATAAATTGAAATTGCTTATCTGCACGGTTCGATTAAATTTAGATACAGTACAATTTTTATGTAGAAATTAATTATTATAAATAATACAATACATGTTTATTGGCCTCTTTAAAAAGTAATTATTACTCTTTTTTTTTTTTTTCTTTTATAAAAAACTCCAATCAC